GCAGAACGCCATTGCCCCTGGACCTGTGTGGAGGTGGTGTGAGAGCTGGAATAAAGAATTGCTGTTTGAATCTACAAAGCTGTGTGGTGGCTCGTGATTCTGGTGCCAAGCATTGACTTTGGCAGTTTGTGACAATTTTAATGTCACCTCTTAGAAAAGCAAGTACACTAGTTTGTCCTTTTGAATGAATCTATGTTACACATTTAAAACTATTATATATAAAGTCTATATGTGCAAATTCTTGGGAAAATAAATAATATATTCTATGTACTACATGTAATATGTACTACTCTGACTCATCAAAAATGTCAACCTTGGTAACTTCTTTACTTCAAAATGCTATTTTGTATTATTATAAGTTTCATTTCTGGGTTACCTAAGTCTTGACACAAAAGTGTGGGCTCAGTCTGCCTCCTTGATAAAACCTAAAGTCCAGTCACACGATCTCATAATTAACTTTGGATGCAATGTCTCCTGAGTGTCATAAAAATATGTCTGAGTATTATGTAAAGCATTTGTGATCATTTTCTCCTCCTTACTAAAGAGAACACTGAGATTAGGTATCACAGAGTGTCTCAAAGTCTCATTCTTTCATACTATTTTAAAAAAATCAACTACCAAGAACATTTAGAAACATTTGCTACTCCAAATTATAATTTCATATCATACAAAATTATCAAACCCTCAAGAAAATTATGTTAATATACCTACATCAAGTAAACAGTTAAAATCATTTACATTTTTACCCAACTAGTATCTTATATCTACATGGTCTTAAGGAGGCACCCACCATTATTTAATGACAAATACTGATTAAAGGTGGTTCAATGGAGGCACCAGGCACTCATCTGACCCTCTCTCTACAAGCAGTAATGGAAGCAGAGAGTGTGTTGCTGCATATTGAGGTAAGAGATCCTGGAGAGCACTGGAATGCAATAGAAAATGAAAACCTTGGAAAATCCAGAGACTCTGGACAGCAGCATGGCAAGAGAAATAAAATACCCAGCACCTGCTGTCTCTGCTCCACTTTAAAGGTACAAGGAGTCTCCCCCATGCCGATGTAAACGTGAAAGAAAGCCCCAGCAAACTATCAGCAGACCCAGGATTCTAGAAAAGGAAAGGTTCACCATCCTCTTGGATTACAGCCTGACTAGATAAGTGACCTGAAGTCTGCATAACAGCCGTGGAATCCAGAGAGGATTTCACACAATGACCCAGTGAACATAGAGTGCTTTAGCCAGGAGGAGCTATTCAGATGGGACCACCATGTGAACTGGGACTGCCTTAGGGGACATAGACCCACCTCAAGTGCCTCAGAGACAGTCCACAGCACGGCTCCATGGATAGCTGCCTCATGAACCAAACATAATTCAGTAAGTGACTCTGACTCAAGCACATTGAGTGCTCTATTCTGGTGGGGATGGATATGGTGACAGAAAGGAATGGAGGGCACCACCTTCTAGGGTCAGGAGAGGTGGGAGCCTGCCACCCAGTTCCAGGGATGTGACCAGCTTCATGTAGATCCATGCCAATGTCATACTGAAGGGGTCACTTGGACAGTTCATACCACCTGTCCTCCCAGTGCTGGTCACAGGTGTCTGCCACTGAATTGGTAGGGAAATATTTCCAAGAACTATGGTTACCTGGCCTACAGGAGCAAGCAAAGGCCAGTCACTCTGCCTCTGGACACATGGCCTAAGATGCTCAGAGGTAAGCTTTGCCCAGACCAGCTAAGTTGTCTGTA